AGCACGGAATGGACTGAGTCGCTCTTAGTTCCCACTCCAGGCCAGCTTATTTTCCAGGAGCTGGGGACATCTCCTTCCAAGTCCAGTAGATGGAATGACTGCCCAGGGTCAGGTAGTCCCATGGGAGATTTTGGAAGCTCCGAGTCACCCTCTTGTGGACTGTGAGGGGGCAGCTCTGACAGATCAGGGTGCAGATTGAGGTGGGTGAGCCAGAACTGGCTCTTTCTCCAGCTTGGCTGGAGAACATTCAGGAGAGGCCTGGCCTTTGGGGCAGAAAAAGGCCACAGACACTAGATCTGGGTGTGGGCCTGCACCAGGCATGGTAATAGTGACAATAGTGATGTCTTTTGAGCACTTTCTTTGAGCTAGATGCTGAGTGCTTTATGTACACCAGCTAATTTCATCTCCACAGCAGCCCAAGGAGGTAGGTACTATTGCTAATCTCATTTCACGGAGGAAGAAACTGAGGCTGGGTGAGGGTGAGGGACTTGCCCAAGGCCAGACAGCTCATGACTGATGAGAACTGCCAAGGGATGCCTGACCTGCCCTTAGTGTTCCTTTCATCCTGAAGCACGATTCCATCAACCGTCATGCCAACATTAAGAAAGTGGTTTTAATAGCAAGAGACTTGCCGTGTGGGAAGTTGTTCAGCTGGGACTGAGGCAGGGGACACCGGAAGAGACTTATTTGGATTCAACACAAGAAAGGGCAGATGTTCTAGTGGTCACAGTGACCCAGAGGTGGATGAGGAGGCTCCCTTGGGAGGGGATGAGCTGCCCATCACTGAATATATGAAGTGAACAGGCCGTTCTCATTGACTGAGGTCCTGGTAGGACAGACAGTGTGCTGAGTGCCTTAACTGTGTCATCATCAGGCCGTCACAGCTCCATCACACAGGCACTGTTGTTGTCCCCCACTTACAGATGAGGAAACAGAGGCTCAAAGAGATTGAGTGATTCATGACGGTTACGTAGGTGGTTGGTGGGAGAGTCGTGACTCAAACCCAAAACCGTGCATCTCCAAAGCTCTGTTTGTATGCATACATCTATTGAGCGCCTGCTGTGTGTCCAGTACTATTCTTCTAGACACTGAGACTCAAGCAGGGACAATTCAGTCCCAGTCCTTGACCTCATGGAGATCACATTCCAGTGAGGAGGGAGAAAATCCACAGTAAGGAGTGCTAAAATAGAGCTACACAGGGGTGAGGTCACCAGGAGTAAGCTGGGTCGGGGGACCTGAGATGGTCAGGGAAGGCCACTCTGAGGAGGTGGGTTCTGAGCTGGGATCTGGAAGACCAGAGGGAGAGAGTACTATAAAGAGTTTAGAGACTTGTGCTCCAGCCCCAGGGAAGCACAGGTGCAACGGCCCTCGGCCAGGAAGGAGAACAGAAAAGCCACTGTGAGAAGAATGGGCAAGGGGGAGCCAGAACATTTGGAGCCTCGTCAGCCAGGACGTGAACTTCATCTGTCACTTTTTAAAGTGGTGGTGTGCTGCAGCCAGCTCAGACCAGCTCATAAGAGCCACTGTTAAGTCTTCAGGCATTTTGCAAACCGGTTGTTAAATTGTTAGTAGCTTGAAATCGGCCATGGCGGGAGGATTGACACTACAGAAATTGATGGATGCCATAAATCTTGGCTTTTCTCCCGCTTACTGTTGACTTGAACATCACTGGTTTTGGCAGGGAAATGGGGAGATCTGGTTTTCACTTTAAGACGAGCTCTCTCTGGCTGCCAGGTGGAGAGTAGCCTGCAGGGGACAGGAGCAGAGAGAATAGCAGGGAAAGCCAGTGCTTGCTCCAGGTGGAACAAGCGTAGGCCAGTGAAGAGAAGTGAAGAGATTCCAAAGATTTTGGAGGCAGAGTTAACAGCCTTGCCGGGCCAACCTCAACCAAGAGGTTCATAGCAGGAGGTGACAAGGTGGCATGGAGGGGCATGACTTGAACCCAGGCCTGCAGGGTCCGTAAACTCATTCTGTGGCCACACCTCAGTGATTCTTCCTAGGAAGGTGGCGGTTCTGGGACGAGAGAAAACAGCTGATGATTGCCCCTCAGCCCTGGCTCCCTCTGGTCAGAGCAGCCCCTTCCCACACTGCCTCTTGGGAGGGCGTCTCCTGAGAGCTACTCTATGGAGGTGAGGGGTGGCAGGATGTCAGTATCATAGACACCGGAAGGCCCAGCTCTCCACTGTGGCCTCTGGGACCATGACCAGAGCCTCCGTCCTCCCCCACGGGAAGGCCCTGTCTTGGCAGTACTGAGCTGGAGACAGCCTCGCAGCGTTCTAGGACCTTCTTGGGTGACTCCCCAGCTCTGGGACCTGGAGCTTTTCCTGGTGCAGAGCAAAGATGAGGTTAGGGGCACAGGGAAGTGGGTGCTGGGCCAGGCTGGGGGCCTCAGAGGAGGCGGGGCCCCAGCACAGCTTCCTGGGCCCGGGATGCCCTGGGTTTACCTCTTGTGCCAGAAATGGAAGGAGGGAACAGAGGTGGACTGCTGAGATTCTGTCTCAATGGGGGAGGAGCTATGTCGTGCCAGCTCTTAGTAAAATTCTGGCCTAATCAACAGGCCAAGTTTGTCTTCCTTGCACCCTCTCACCCCTTCCCACCAGAGCCACCTTTGCCAGCCAACCCCAGCAACCTCTGTCAAAGCTCCTGTGCTCTTGTGTTAGGGGATCGGGTCATTGTGATCCTCTGGACGGAGAGAGAAGAGATGGGCAGGAAACAAAACTAATGTCCATCGAATCCCTACAACGGGTCATCTCTGGGCTGCTTGCTTTCCTAAAGGGTCAGAACAGATACTCTCTTAAAGAGTTGTGCTAGTTTAAAAGTTGCCCCTTTTCCCTGCCCCTAAGACATAAAATGTTCATTTATATCTTTCTAGACTTTCTCCTATGCACACATGGGTTAATTCCACAAAAACGAGAAGATGCGAAGTGTTCTATGTGGATTATCTCATTTAATCCCTAGGTGCTATTACCCACACTTTGCCTTTCAGGAAACTGAAGCTCAGAGAGGTCAGTGCTTTTCCTGAGGCCACACAGCTGGTAGCTCTGCCTCAACCCACAGCCCCACTCTGCACCCTGAGCGTCAATGGCTGAGGAAGGGCTGGCCTTGGCCCTGTCTGGGGGCATTTGGGGTTGTAGACCAGATGGGGTGAATTCTGTAGAAGGCCTGATCAGGCCCTTCCTTCTGCTGTGCCTGGTGACCCAAGCCTGGTGGCAGATTCCAGCCCCAGGAGTCCTTGTTAAGGTTTTTGAAAAGGGGTTCTGGCCGGGCGCGGTGGCTCAAGCCTGTAATCCCAGCACTTTGAGGGGCCGAGACGGGCAGATCACGAGGTCAGGAAATCAAGACCATCCTGGCTAACACGGTGAAACCCCGTCTCTACAAAAAAATACAAAAAACTAGCCGGGCGAGGTGGTGGGCGCCTGTAGTCCCAGCTACTCAGGAGGCTGAGGCAGGAGAATGGTGTAAACCCGGGAGGTGGAGCTTGCAGTGAGCTGAGATCCGGCCACTGCACTCCAGCCTGGGTGACAGAGCGAGACTCTGTCTCAAAAAAAAAAAAAAAAAAAGAAAAAGAAAAGAAAAGGGGTTCTATTGCCATTTAATTGCAGCTTTGTCCTTGAAGCAGGTTCCCAGCTCCCAAGATTCCCAGCTGTCTGTAACAGACAGACTTGCCTTGGATTTCTCTTGCCCAAGGCCCTGGGTAGAGGCTAGTCTGGGAGTTGGGAGACCTGTGCCCTCACCGCTGTGTAACCGTGGCAGCTCCTGTCTCTCTGCCTTGATCATTTCTTTCTTAAGTTCCTTTCACCTCCATGTAAGTGCTTGAGTCTTCCCCTAATTAGGGAAGGGTGGGGTCTGCTGGTTGGGTGAGGCTGGGGAAGGGCAAGGAAGAAGAGGAAGAACCAGGGTGGTGAAGAGGCGTCTGAGGCAGGCTGGTGGGTTTTAAGGAGCAGAATGGAGAATAACTAGGTCTAGAATCCCTGGACCTGGGTCCAAATCCCAGTGAGGGGCGTATGCAGTTATGCAGGATCTGTACTCACAAGAGTCCACATTTGGCTTTATCTTCTGCTATTGCATCTTGAAATTCTTAATAATTTTTGAGCAAGGAGCCCAGCGTTTTCATTTTGTACTGAGCCCCACAAACTGTGTAGCCAGCCCTGTTACCTTGTATTAACTGTGTACCCTTGGGCAAGTTACTTCGCCTCATAGACTCAGTTTTCTCGTCTGCAAAATGGAGCAGTGCTACCACCACCCTAGAGGACTGTCCTGAGAATGAAACGAGAGACTCCCAGTAAAGAGTCAGGCAGTGGTGAATCCGTGACAGGACTCAATCCCTGGTGCTTGTGACAGTCACTCTTTAGGGGCCTGAGAGGGAGAAACGTCTCCCAAGGAGCCGCAGCCTCTGCCAGCCTTGTCTGTTGTGCTCTCTCAGCACCTATGGGACACTTCAGGCCAAAAATGCAATTGTCACTGGAAAGCAAATAGTGCCACCATCCCCACTCCAAACCTACCTTCCCTCCCCCACCTATGGCTGTATGGGGTCAAGTGGTTTACAGACTTTAACTTCTGGGAAGTAAAGTCCTGGAATGTTTGAGCGTGGGAAGGGACGTGGGTCTGGCGCGCCTTCTCCAGCATCTGCTTCTGGCCAGAGGAGGGTCAGTGGTCTGCCTGTCCCCAGTGAAGGTCCCATACCCAGAGGTGCTAATGGAGTCTTTCCCAAGAACAGCCTCCTGCTGTAGGATCCCCTATCAATCAGCTTCAAGGTCCTAACAACTCAACCTCCCAGATGGTTCTGGATCTTGACTTTCTGGATTAATATCGGAACTATTTTCTAACAGTGAGATTTTGGGCAAGTTACTTAGCCTCTCTGGGCCTCAGTTTTGCCCTCTGTGAAATAATAGCTTTGACCTCAGTGTGTCATGAAGATGAATGAACCCCTGCATGGAAGTGCTTAGACCTGTGCCACACAAACATGAGTCACTCCTGCTGCCACGCAGCCGGCCTCACCCCTACTCTGAGCCAGAGAGCATGCTCACAAATGCTCTGAACATTTCTGAGTGGGCAGAGATGGTGATGAAGCTGCCTCCTCCTTAAGCAGGCTGCTTTCTGAACCAGCTCCGGCTCTGTCCCTGTGACTCTTTCCAGAATTTGTTGGAAGCCAGCACTTGTTGAAAGTTCCCAGGCATCTTGGTGGCGGGAACTGAAGACTTGGGGGTGATGGGCTGTACCAGTTACAGGGCTGCAAGCAAAACAAGGCCCCTACAGAGTGGTACCCTCAACCTCTCCAGAGCTGGGGATGCAGCCCAGTTATCCCTGAGCCTCCATGGAGGAGCACCTGTGGGTTCTGTTGCTCAGCTGTCCTGATTCCCTGGGAACAGCGCCAGGGTTTGCACTGGGAAACTTCCAGGCCGCACTGCAGGCTCCTAGGATATGACTGTCGGTCAAGCCAAGGGGCGGGCACATGGCCCAGGCTCAGCCAATTGGGCATCCTCTCTTGATTCTTGAGAATGGAGAAGATGATAAAAAGGGGTTGGGAAGGATTCATTCTGGGGACGCCTCCCTGAGTTCCTGCTGCGTGGATCTCCAGGGCTGCCCTGGGCCCCTGTCCTCTCTGGATTTGCAGCTGGATTGATTCTGTGCCTCCCTACAGCCTCCCGTGCATCCCTCCTTGCCCAGAGTAGCCCGGGCAGTCTCTGCTGCTGGCTGATACCCTTTGGCTCCTGCCAACACCTTCACCAGCCATGGTCCAAACCACTCCCACCCTGATAGCCCCCTTCTGCTTTGAAGGCTCTGTCTACGGTTTGCACAGGCTGTGTAAGCTATTCTGTGCCTCCGAACTTTTGTCCCTGCCATTCCTTCTGCCAGAATGCCCTTCCCACCTTCTCCTCTCATTCTCATCCTCGTGAAACACCTCGGACACTGCCGATTCTGGGGGACTCCCCCACCCCTCCTCGAACTGGGCCGACTCCTTCTCTGGGCAGCCCCAGCCCCTGAGCTCCTCTCCCTCTGCATCCATGCCGCCCACACCTGCATCCACCTCCCTGCTGAGTCTGAACCCAAGGCCAGAGCCAGGACCCTTCACATTCATTCTCAGTCGGTGCTCAGCACATAAGCGAGGGGCTCTAGGACCATGGGGAGGCAGCCCCGGGCACCTGTCAGGGACTCCTGAGTTGGCAGGGGCTGATCTCACTGCCTGCTGGTGAGGGGTCGTGAAGGGGATGAGTCCAAACCCCTGCCCCTGCCTCCAGCCCAGCCCCGACCCTGGCCCCAGCCCCAGCCTTTGATCCAGATCTTGCCCCAGCCTTGCCCCAACTCCAACCACAGACCTGAAACCCCAGCCCTTGCTCTGCCCCCGAATGGACCCCGGCCTCTCCCTCATTCCTGGCCCCTTCTCCAGCTCAGGCCCTGCCCTGGCTCCTACCTCCTTCACCCTCTCTGGGGACCTTTCCCACCCACAGCGTTCTTCCCGAGTGGAGCCCACACTGAGCTGTGACTTCCCAGGAGTCATCTGAGGTGACCCAGCTCTGAGCCAATGGAAGCCTTTGAGGGGGAAGGCCAGGCCAGCCAGCATGGTGGTGAGTGTGATGGGGGTGGGATGTCAGGGTGGGCATGAGGCCCAGCCCTCTCCACCCCACCATCCCTGGTGGCACAGGTCCAGTAGCTCCAACAGGAGGTTCAGGGCCAAGTATAGGCAGGGGCAGTTCCCAGACGTGGGTCCTTCAGCTTGCTCCCACCCCCTGCACGGAGCCAGCCCTGGTCCTGAGCCACGGGTGGGGCTGAGCCTTGGGGGGCTGAGCCTTGGGGGGCTGATGGGGAAATGCCTGAGCTGCAGCCACCAAACTCAGGTGGGATGGGGTCGAGGGAGAGTCCCAGGACAGGCCAATGGGAATTGGGCAGCCCATAAAGCAGACCAGCCTGGATAGAAAGGACAAAAATAGCCCAAGTTTCCCGTGGGGTTGCCAATGCCCTTCCTCCCCATCTTCTTGGGAATGGGACTGGGCGGTGGGGGTGGGAGGTTTTAGGACCATGGAGAATCTGGCCCTCCACAGGTGGATCCTGCAATGGACACATCATGAGGACAGAAGCCAGCATTGTGATGTCACAGCCTGGCTGTGGCTTTGTGCTCCTGGAGCTGTAGGTGAGTCAGCTAGGCCCCTTCCTCCTACAGTGCCTGTCTACCTGTGTTTGATGCTTGGGCCTAGAAATTCAGTTGACTTTGTAGCCCCTCACCTTCTCTCTTCAACGCACTGGGCTGGTTCAGCAGTTGACCAATGAAGGTCATGCTTGCGTACCAGCCTTGGGCGAGTGGCCCAGGAACTGTTTGCAAGGCTGTGTTGAAGCTACTTGTAACTAGACCATCTTCCCAGCTTGACCATGAGCTTGTTTGAAGCATCTCTGCTTAGTCTCCACTGTAGTTCTGCAAGCACTGTACGAGCTCAGAGCATGTAATGTTGGTTAAGTGAATAAATGTGTGGATGGGGGTGGGTGGGCAGAGATGATAATGAAGCTGCCTCCTCCCTAAGCAGGCTGTTTTCTGAACCAGCTCTGGCTCTGACCCTATGACTCCTTCCAGAATTTGATGGAAGCCAGCACTTATTGAAAGTTCCCAGGCATCTTGGTGGCCAGGAACTGAAGACTTGGGGGTGATGGGGCTGTACCAGTTACAGAGCTGCAAGGGAAACAAGGCCCCTACAGAATGGCACCCTCAACCTCTCCAGAGCTGGGGATGCAGCCCGAAGACCTTGGACTTGGGATTTAATGAGCCCTGGGTCCTCATCCAGTCCTGCCAGATGACCTTGAACTGGTCACAGCCCCTCTCTGAACCTCTGTCTCCTTTTCTGTGAGGTGGGGATGCTAGCACTGGCTTCCAAGGATCCGAAGAAGAAGCTGCAGTTGTGACTGTTCCTTTTTGGTCTGTCTTCATCCTGTCTGGCTCACGTGGCTCCTGTCCTCCTGCGTAGCTTGTGGCAGTGGGGTGATGGCAGCCATGGACACAGGCCAGAGAGCTGGCCCAAGCAATCCTGGTGACAAGGAAGAGGACCTTCAAGAGCTGTGGCAGGAACTCTACCAGCTCCAGGCTAAGTACGCATTGTGCCAGCCCTGCCCCAGCCCCAGCCCCAATGCCTCCCTGGTGGGCTAAGTGGCTGGACTGAGCAAACATGTGCCTGAGGAGGCCAGGACAGGGGGTGGATGAAGAGGGCAGTGTGGTCTGGAAGCAAATAGGCGTGGCAGGGCTGGGCGACAGCTGTGATGGGAGAGAGAAGAGGTGTGGCTATTGCCCTTTGACCTCAGATCTTGGGTCAGTCCTGGGCCTTCTGCTGGCTGGGCCTCTACATCAGGAAGGAGGACTGTGGGTGACCATCCATCTGCACCTGTCCACTCGGCCCCTCTAAGGCCAGTCTACAAGATTGCCGCCTTGACTCTTAGTGGGGACCCTGGGTCCTCACCCCATGAGGATGGGAGGTTGGGGAGATGAAATTTCAGACTACACACAAAAACCTGAATTAGATGCAAAAGGACGTGTCTCTGCAAAGTTTTATGAAGGGCCAACCATTCCAACAGATTTTGAGGGCTTCCTGATTCCGATAAGATTTAGCACCGTCATGGCTCACAGGGCCCCATGTGATATCTGTGGGAAGGATGATATTGTTCTGCACTTTTCAGAACCATATGGATGAGAAAGGGGGGCCCACAGAGGCAGAGTGGCTTGCCTTGGGCCACTCAGAGACCCCCAGCACAGCCCCTGTTGGATAGCCAGAGAATGGGTTGGGAGCTCAGCCAGCTGGCCAGGCCACGCCCTGCTCTGGTCTCTGCCCTTGACTGCTGACCTTGGCTGGGTCCAGAACAGGTGACCTGTTGGAGACTTGCTTAGGGATTCCCCGAAGAGTCAAGTATGGCCAGGCAATAGCACGTGGCCCTCTCCCCTCCGGGGATTGGTGGGAAACCCACCTCTGATGGAACGCTCCCAATGCACTTGGTGCCCCATGCATGACCCTGGTCAGCAGCTCACATCACCCCTGCTGTAGATGGGCTACCCAGGCACAAAGAGCTGAAGCACTTGGCCCCGCATCACCAGCTAGTAGGTGCTGGCCTGTCTCCCGAGATGGGAGGCACCTGCACAGCCTCCAGAGGAGGCATCATAGACTCTGGCCAGAAAGACTTGGCCTTCAAGTCTAGGCACCTTCTTCGCTGCCTAGGAGATGCTGCTGTGGGCATTTATTTGACCTGCTTGTGGCTCAGTTTGCTCAGCAATGAAATGAAGGTGGAGAGATTCCTAAGTCTATGGCCAACTGATAAAGTGGTATGTGGCCGGCCCAGGGCAGGTCCAAGCAGGAGATCACAGAGGGTGGCCCAGGTTTGTTCATAGGGGTCCTATGACCTGGGAGCCTCCAGGCCATGTTCTTGCATCTGGCTCTACAGGCAGAAGAAGCTCAAGAGAGAAGTCGAGAAGCACAAGCTTTTTGAAGACTATCTGATTAAGGTCCTTGAGAAAATCCCCGAGGGTACGTACGCAGCTTCCTCGGAAAGCCCTTTCTCTCCACAGCCGCCTCCTGGCTGCAGGACTGCCACACGGTGTGTGGCCTCATGGAACTAGAGCTGCTCATCTACAGAATGGGAACCCACAAAGGCCAGCCCCACAGTGGTGGGGAAGGGTGTAGACAGCCGAGTCTGACTGCTTGGTCCCAACCCTAGCTCCACTGTTGTTAACAGTGTGGCCTCTGGCAAGTTCTCAAGGCCTTGATTTTCTTATCTGTACAATGGGAAGAGCAATATTTGTGTGGACTAGATGAAGTCATCCTTTATAAGCATAGCACAGGGCCCCGCATATAGCTAGCACTTGGTAAACATTGGCCATTATTATTATTATTTTGTTTGTCTTTGGATTTGTGTTTTTGTTTTGCTATTATTAACTAAGAGTATAAGGACATCTGAGATGAGGTTTTGTGTGTTGTTTTATGAGTACTGAAAACTCATTAGAAAAGGGAAGGGGAGTCACATATTTATTGTCATCATTATTATTTCAACACCATCAATAATACATAATTATTACCATTTACTAAATATGTGCCCTGTGCTAAGCTTTTTAGTAAATCTTTTTATACCCCTCCTATGAGCTTTGCAGTACTGTGTTACTCAGGCCCAGAGAGGGTAATGAACTTGCCCAGGGTCACCCAGTCAGGAAGTAGTGGTGCTGGGCTCAGACTCTGGTCCATCTGACTTCATAGCCACTGTACTAAGTGCTAGAATGAGAGGAGTTATGGAAACTCCAAAACCTCTGCCTTGGAGGTCAGGGAAGGCTTCATGGAGGAGGTGACCTTTCATGGGGCTCAAATGGGTGTAGCAAAGGAGAATGACCCTGCAGGCAGAGGGAGGGACACAAACGTAGGCAGCAGCCACAGGGCTGCCAGGTGGGTTTGGGGGTGGTGAGCTCTGGGCTGCTGGGAGATGTGGTTGGGAGGCTGGGGATATATACTGAGTAGTGAGCCAAGGAGGAGTCAGGGCTGCAGGTCAAGCGAGGGGCTTGCGGCAGACCCAGCACCCAGTGCTGCTCGTGGTTTGGGACCTTCCTAATTCAGCAGTTTTGCCTGTTCAACTCATCCAAAATGCATACCCATCAGGACTTGGTACTTGCTCACCCAGGACAGGAACAATTCCTATCCCCTTCTCAGGCTCCCCCAAGCAGCGACGTCTCCTTGAGGGCAGTCTCCTGCCTCGCTCGGTAGTCTCGATCCAGAATCCCTATCTCAGTCTCTGGCTGAACTTTCCAAGGTTGAGGCTTCCTTTGAAGTGGAGGGGGCGGGGCGGGGGCGGGGGGAGTGGGGGTGCGTGCATGGATGGCAAGCCTGGAGAGCTGCGGGACCATCCTACTGTCTTGGGGTCAGCCTGGCATGGACTGTCCTGCACCTCTCAACTTTGTGGCCCCAGACGGAATTCCTGGCCACCTTGTTGGCATGGCCCATTGCAGGGGCACCCACCCATCTGGCCATGGCGCTGTCTCCATAGGCTGCACGGGATGGGAGGAGCCGGAGGAGGCGCTGGTGGAGGCCATGGTGAAGCACTACGGGAAGCTCTTCACAGCCAGCCAGGACACGCAGAAGCGCCTCGAGGCATTCTCCCAGATGAGCCAGGCCGTCCACCGGAGCCTGGAGTCTCTAGAGGAGGGTCACAGGGCTCTCATGGCGGTAACAACTGCCTGAAGTCTGTTCCATTCCCGGTGGCCCAGGGAGCTGGGGGCGTGGGGCCCCCTTTCCTGCGCACCTGGAGGGTGCCGTGGCATAATGCTGGAGGGCCCTGGGTGGGGCTGTCGCTCCTGAGCCGCCTTCTGTATCCCCTTCCTCCCCGCTCTGCTGCCTGAGGCTCAGCTCCTGCCTAAAAGTTGTTCTGCGTGGTAAAAAAGCCATGTGTCCTGGATGCAGAGGGACTGGGTCTCAGCTCCCAATTCAGCCACCCACTAGCTGTACGACTAGTTTGTATCCTCTCTGAGCCTTAGTTTCTGCATCTGTCAAATGCGGGCAACACATTCTAGCTGCTAGGGTCCTTGCGAGGCACCAACACAAACTGCCTCAAAGTCAGTGCCAGAGACATCATTTCCCTCCCCTTCCTTTGTGGTTATCTCATAATAATTAGGACTTCCGCTGGGAGGGATGGGCACTCCAGGTGGAAGAGCCTGCCCTAACAAAGGCGTGGCATCATGAAGATTCGTGCAGCCACGGGGACCGGGGACTTAGGGATCCCAGAGGAATGATCACAGGCTGGTTGGTTCACTGCAAAGGGCTACTGCGTGGTGTTTGGAGAGAGCATCTGCCCCCTAGTGGCAGCGTTGCAAGCCTGCACCACTTTGTACCATTTGGAGAATGTGATTCATTGATGGGCTGGGCACTGCGTGAAGCACTTTACGTGCTTTATCTCACTTAAATCTCACGTGAGCACCTCCAGGTAGGTGCTGCTATTCCAAAGGCTGGGACTAGAGAAAGGCAAGTCCAGCCATGCTATTCTTCCCATTTTCGGAGAAAAGTAAGCCTCAGAGAAGTGGGGCCACGGGGGTTATGTCCTGCGTCTCCTTTTCTTTTTCTTTTCTTTCTTTCTTTCTTTCTTTCTTTCTTTCTTTCTTTCTTTCTTTAACAACAACAGCAACAGCAACAGCAACAACAGCAACAGCAACAGCAACAACAGCAACAACATAACAGCTTTCTTTTAGCGCAAGCAGCGAAGCAACAGCTTTTCTTTCTCTCTCTCTTTCTCTTTCTCTCTCTCTCTCTTTCTTTCTCTTTCTTTTTCTTTCTTTCTTTCCCTTCCCTCCTTCTTTCCTTCCTTCTTTCCTTCCTTCCTTCCTTCCTTCCTTCCTTCCTTCCTTCCTTCCTTCCTTCCTTCCTTCCTTCTTTCTTTTTTCCCTCTTTCTTTCTCTCTTTCTCTCTCTCTTCCTTTCCTTCTTTCTTTCCTTTTTTTGGGAGACAGGGTCTCACTCTGTCGCCCAGGCTGGAGTGTAGTGGCGTGATCTCAGCTCACTGCAGCCTCCGCCTCCCAGCTCTTTCTTTCTTTCTTTCTTTCTTTCTTTCTTTCTTTCTTTCTTTCTCTCTTTCTTTCTTTCTTTCTTTCTTTCTTTCTTTTTCTTTCTTTTCTTTCTCTCTCTCTTTCTCTCTTTCTCTCTCTCTCTCTCTTTCTTTCTCTTTCTTTTTCTTTCTTTCTTTCCCTTCCCTCCTTCTTTCCTTCCTTCTTTCCTTCCTTCCTTCCTTCCTTCCTTCCTTCCTTCCTTCCTTCCTTCCTTCCTTCCTTCCTTCCTTCCTTCCTTCTTTCTTTTTTTCCCTCTTTCTTTCTCTCTTTCTCTCTCTCTTCCTTTCCTTCTTTCTTTCCTTTTTTTGGGAGACAGGGTCTCACTCTGTCGCCCAGGCTGGAGTGTAGTGGCGTGATCTCAGCTCACTGCAGCCTCCGCCTCCTAGCCTCAAGCGATTCTCCTGCCTCTGCCTCCTGCATAGCTGGGATTACAGGCGTGTGCCACCACACCCGGCCTGTTCTGTATCTTTCAAATTCCTATCCCACAGGGCCTGGCTGGGAGCATGTGTTAGTTCCTTCTCATGCTGCTAATAAAGAAACACCTGAGACTGGGTAATTTCTAAGAAAAAGAGGGCCAGGCATGGTGGCTCATGCCTGTAATCTCAGCACTTTGGGAGGCCGAGGCAGGCAGATCACTTGAGGTCAGCAGTTCAAGATCAGCCCGGCCAACATACTGAAACCCCATCTCTACTAAAAATACAAAAATTAGCCAGGCATGGTGGTGCGTGCCTATAACCCCAGCTAATTGGGAGGTTGAAGCAGGAGAATCACTTGAACCCAGGAGGCGGAGGTCGCAGTGAGCCAAGATTACACCACTGCACTCCAGCCTGGGCAAAAAGAGTGAGACTCTGTCTCAAAAAATAAATAAAGAAAGAAAGAAAGAAAGAAAAAGAGGTTTAATGGATTCACACTTCCACATGGTTGGGGTGGCCTGACAATCACGGTGGAAGTTGAAGGAGGAGCAAAGGCATGTCTTACCTGGTGGCAGGCAAGATAACTTGTGTAGGGGAACTCCCCTTTATAAAATCATCAGGAACTGGGGCTCAGGTAAACTCCATCAGCCTGGACATGCCCTTTTCTGCATCTCTGGTGCCTTGAATGGCCCCAGCCACCCGGAAGTGTTCCTTCCTCCTATCCTGTCATTAAACATACTACCCTGGGGACTCAGACCAGGGCACATGCCCTGGAGGGTTTGTTGTACCAAGATGACCCATTCCCTCTGCGTCAGAGCCTCAAGATCCGGCTATATCAGCTGCAGAAGAAGTGTCACCGCAAGCAGGAGCAGTGGTGGAAGCTGGAGCACAGCATCACTTACCAGAAGGACATTGACTTTGACGCAAACACACACACCAGCAGCAGCTATAGTGTGAGTCCAGTCTTTCAGCCTGGGGGTGGGGCTAGGGGTGGGGAGGGGGGAAGCTGATGCCTCCATTGTCACTCCCAACACACACAGACACACACACACAGACACACACACACAGAGCCAGACACATAGACACACAGACACACAGACACACACACACAGAGCCAGACACAGAGACACACAGACACACACACACACACAGACACATACACACACACACACACACAGAGCCAGGCACATAGACACACAGACACACACACACACAGACACATACACACACAGACACACAAACATAGACACATACACACACAAGACACATACACACACAGACACAAACATAGACACATACACACACAGACACACACACACACACACAGACACACACACACACAGAGCCAGACACATAGACAGACACACACACAGACACATACACACACAGACACACACACACACAGACACACATACACACACACAGACACACAGACACACACAGACACACACACACAGAGCCAGACACAGACACACACACACACACACACACACAGACACATACACAGACACACACACACAGAGCCAGACACAGACACACAGACACACACACACACACAGACACACACAGAGACACATACACAGCCAGACACATAGACACAGACACATACACACACAGACACACACACACAGAGCCAGACACACACACACACAGACACACACATACAGAGCCAGACACAGAGACACACAGACACACAGACACACACACAGAGCTTTTCAGACACAGACACACAGACACATACACAGACACACACACAGAGCCAGACACACACACACACAGACACACACACATACAGAGCCAGACACAGAGACACACAGACACACACAGACACACACACACAGAGCCAGACACAGACACACAGACACACACACAGACACATACACAGACACACACACACAGAGCCAGACACAGAGACACACAGACACACACACATAGACACACACACACACATAGACACATACACACACAGACACACACAGAGCCAGACACAGAGACACACAGACACACACACACACAGACACACAGAGACATACAGAGCCAGACACATAGACAGACGAATTCAGAGACATATAGACAGACACACACAGCCAGACACATACACACAAATGCACAGAAACAGACACAGCCAGACACACACAGACACACAGAAACACAGACACAGTCAGACACACACACAGACACACACAAACACATGTACAGACACACAGACACACGCAGAGATATACATAGAGACAGACACACACACAGACGTACCTGCACCACTTACTTCTCCTTGGTGACAGTTTACTTTTGAAGGACCTCTTTTAGAGGGGTCAAATGTTACTTTACAGATGGGAAAACTGAGGCCACAGATATTTCAGGACTGAGCTCTGCCAAGAACCGGAGCCGGGATCCACCGGCCCAGTCCCAGGGCTTTGTGTTGTGCCGAGCACTTAGTCCTTGTATAATGTTTGTGGTTAATAATAAAATAATGGCATTTAAGTGAGTGGTTATTATGCACTGTCTTCAGCAACCCTGGTGTCTCGCTGATCATTCCAGGCAGTGCTTAGCACAGAGTCTGACCTGGAGTAGGTGTTCTTGAATATTGGTAAATTTTACCCACACTCATTTTACAAATGAGAAAAATGAGGCTCAGAAAGAACAAGTCATGGCCAAAGTCCATGGCCATGAATTCCAAGGATTCCAGAATTCAGCTTTGCACTGCCCCATACTGGCCTTGGGAATGTGGTCTGGTCACCGCTGGACCCCGGTTCCTCACCATAAACGGAGGCAACAGTCTATGTTCTTCTGGCCTCAGGGACTGTGGGAGGACACTTGGGACCATGGCTTGGGCACAGGGCTGCACTGGGCACACCTTCTCTGCACAGGATGAGGTCCTGGAGTGAGTGTGAGACCTGCTCAGGTCCAGACTGACTGGGCCTCGGGGGTTCTGAGTTTGAAGACGAGGCTTCCAAGGCAAGGGGCTTAGGGAGGGAGCAGGGTGGGGGGTCACAGTCTACAGAGCCCCTTTAAGGTCTTTCTCTCTAAGCTGCTGCAGCACACCAGGATCCTGGAGGTCTGAAGTACAGGACCCCACTCCATGCCCCTTCCCAGTCCTCAGATTCTAACGAGGTATGGACCCTGATGCCTCCAGCCAGGAAACCCTTCTGAAAGGAGTTAGTCCAGCCTCTCTCTTTGCAGGGGAGGTTGCTGAGGCTCTGAGGTGGGGAGGAACTCAACCAAGCCCCGCAGGAGAGGAATACAGACCATGATGAGAAGGACACTCCCGGCGTCCCAGCTCTGTCCACGACATTTTGCTGGCTGGAGTGAGCTGGGGCAGGGGCAGGGGATGCTGGAAGAGAGCCTGAGCCGCCGCCTCCTCTTTCCTGCAGGATCAGCTGCTCAGCTACATGCAAATGACCATCACCAACATGGCCCGGCAGTGCTGCCCCTCTGCCCACAGCATGCCCAAGAGCATGGATCTCTTCTCCAAGCTCAATCTGATTAAGGTAAGGATAGACAGATGGCCACGGGGCTCCTGACTGCCCCAGGCAAGCCTCCAACTTGAGCTAGTCCTGCTCCGTAGCTCAGGTTGCATTTGTGTTTAGCCCCCCATCGGCTCTTCTTTCCATAGCTACATGGGTGCCTGGTGCAGTAAGGTCCTAAGATCTCTATTAGTCTCCCAACAAACTTGAGCACCCACTAGGTAAAGGGTCAGTGTAGAGGATGCATAGAGGAACTTCCCACCTGGTCTTTATATGTAGCTCCACTCTGACACATCACACACACACACACACACACACACACACACACACATAGACCCATCAACATCCACATGTGCTTTCTGCACACCAACACACATGAGACACACACAGACACACCTGCAAACAAGCACACAAACATCAACTTGCACGCACAAAGATGCAAACAGGTATGATCACACTCTTACACATATGAGTACGCTGGCAGCAGGCATTTCAGAGACTGAGGGAGCCTCTTGCACAGGGTCCTTATCTGAAACTTCACACTGTAAGTCCACTGGGCTTCTCTCCTCATTGCCCTCATCAGTCAGGATACTGTTATTGCAGTAACAGAAAACGTGATCAGATTGGCTTTGATTGACAACACAGCCTGTCTTTTTAAAATAATAACTTTATTGAGATATAATTCACAAACCATAAAATGTATCCCTTACAATTATGCACTTTGGTGTTTTCAGTATAGTCAAAATTGCATAGCCATTACCCCTGTCTAATTTCAGAACCTTTCATCACTCCCAAAAAGATACACTGCGTCTGACTGCTTTCATTTAGCATAATGTTTTCAAGGTTCATCCACGCCCTAGCATGAATCAGTGCTTTATTTTTATGGCTGAATATTCCATGGTATGGGCCTATTTGTATGGATAGAACTTTTGTTTATCCATTCATCAGCTGACGGACATCTGGGTTGTTTACATTCCTTAGGTATTATGAATATTGCTGCTATGAACATTTGTGTACAAATTTTTATGCAGAGATATGTTTTCACTTTTCTTTGGCACATACCTAGGGGTGCAATTTCTGGGTCATCTGTTAACTCTATGTTTAGCATTTGAAGAACTGCCAAACTCTTTTCCAAAATGGCTGCACCATTTACCATCCCCATGATCAATGTACGATGGTTCCAATTTCTCCACATCCTTGCCAACATTTGCTATTGTCAACCTTTTCTAATTTAGCCCTCCTAATGGGTGTGAAGTGGCATCTCATTGTGGTTTTGATTTGCACTTCTCTGATGACTAATGATGTTGAGTATCTTTTCATGCGCTTATTGGCCATGTGTATCTCTCCTTTGGAGAAATATCTATTTAAATTCTTTGCCCATTAAAAAATTTGATTTTTTTTTTTTTTTTTTTTTTTTGGGGACGGAGTCTCACTCTGTTGCCCAGGCTGAAGTGCAGTGGCACATCTTGGCTCACTGTAACCTCTGCCTCCCGGGTTCAAGCGATTCTCCTGCCTCAGCCTCCCGAGTAGCTAGGACTACAGGCATGCACCACCACACCCAGCTAAGTTTTGTATTTTTATTAGAGATGGGGTTTCACCATGTTGGCCAAACTGGTCACGAACTCCTGACCTCAAGTGATCCACCTGCCTCGGCCTCCCAAAGTGCTGAGGTTACAGGCATGAGCCACTGTGCCCGGCCTATTTGTCTTTTTTTAGTTGAGTTGTAAGAATTCTTTTTGCGTTCTGGATATAGGTCCCTTATCAAATATGTGATTGCAAATATTTCCTATCTTGCATGTTATCTTTTTACTATCTTGATGGTGTCCTTTGAAGCACAGAAGTTTTGAATTTTGATGGAATCCAATTTGTTTGTTTTTTTGTTTGTTTGAGACAAGGTCTCCGTCTGTCACCCAGGCTGGAGTGCAGTGGCGCCATCTTGGCTCACTGCAGCCTCCGCCTCCTGAGTTCAAGCGATTCTCCTGACTCAGCCTCCCCAGTAGCTGGAACTACAGGCATGCGCCGCCACCCCACGTGGCTAATTTTTGTATTTTTTGGTAGAGAATACACCTGGCCATGTTGGCCAGGCTGGTCTTGAACTCCTGACCTCAAGCGATCCACCTGCCTCGGCCTCCCAAAGTGCTAAGATTAGAGGTGTGAGCCACCGCATCCGGCCAAGAATCCAATAGTTTTACTTTGGATATGTGTATGTACTTGTCCTTTAGGTGTCATATCTAAAAAGACATTGCCTAATCCAGGGTTATGAAGATTTACACCTGTTTCTTGTGAGAAGTTTATAGTTGTTGCTCTACTGTTTAGGTCTGTGATTCATTTTCAGTTGATTTTTTAATATAATGTAAGGTAGGGGTCCAATTTCATTATTTTGCATGAGGATATTCAGTTGTCCTGACATCATTTGTTTAAAAAGTTCTATTATTCCCCTTTGAATTTTCTCAGTACCCTTGTCAAAAATCAGTTGACTGTAATATGAAAGTTTATTTCTGGATTCTCGATTCTATTCCATTCATCTCTATGACTGTTTCTATGCCAGTACCATACTGTCTTGATGACTGTGGCTTTGTAGTAAATTTTAAAATTGAGAAGAGTGAGTCTTCCCACTTTGTTCTTTTCTGAGGTCATTTGGCTCCTCTACCAGGGCACATCTTGTGCCATGAGTAGAAGTTTTGTGCCTGGGTGAGTTTCAGGCATGGTGTGATCCTAGGCTCAGTGGCATCATCAAAGACCCATCCTTTCCATACTCTCCTGTCTGCCACCTTTAGCATTGACTTCATCCTAAGTCAGAACACGCTTACCTCATTTGAGGCAGGTTCAGTGCAGATGTCCAAACACAGGATACTTAGCTCCCCAGGAACACTGAGGGGCAGGTCTCTTCCCTAGCGTCCAGTGCAACAGTCAGCAGTGAGCAAGCCTGTGGCTCAGTTAAGGAGGTCTTCAGGAACCTCACAGGCAGGATCGAGGCCACTGTATGGCACGACTCAGTGGGCACCATTCAGTTGAAGTCTGTGTAATTGGCATCCTTAGTTATATACAGCTTGTAACTTATTCATATCGCAAAGAAATGAGATTTCTGAGTAAGGACACATTTGTCTAAGTAGTCATAGTGTTTTAATTTCATCTTCTTCCCAAGAAAAAGGAAGAAATTATGTGGTGATGTCACAGGGTCCCAAGCAACAATCAGTTTGGGCCTCTGGATTGACATCTGTCAGTCACTCAGCCAACATAAACTGAGCCACCTGAATCTGCTCAGCATTCTGCTAGGCAACGGGAGATGGAGGCTCATCTGATCCTTAAGAAATGAATGCCCTTCAGAGAGGGAGACTGCGGGCAGTCAGGGTGGGCTTCTTGGAGGAGCAGTGAGAAAAGGCAGGCAACCACATTCAGGAAATTACACCAGGATCTGGACTCCTAGTCATCCAACTCTGTCACTCCTGGCTGTGCCACATCAGACAAGTCACTTAACTTCTCTGAGCCTCTGTTTGCTCATTTGCCCAGTGGCATTGATATCACGTCTTTTGCAGCGCCCTTGTGAGAGTTAAAGAAGTAGGTCAGCCTTTGACGATGCTTTGGTCCCTAGGAAGTAGCGTCCAGAGGCCAAAACACTGTCAGGTGAGAGATTTATTTTCCCTCCCAGGAGTTCATGTTGGACAAAATGGAGACTGTAAGACTGATCGCACTGCTCACGGAACCCAGAGTGTGCTGGTCTTGGAACAGCCTCAGGGACCAGGGGCTCAGAAGACACTCCAAACCCTTCAGGAAATGTCCAAGGAGCTGGGTTTCCACCCCCAGGACCCCCTTTCCCAGACCCCATGCTTCAGAGTGCTCCAGCCTGTACTGACCGGCCTACGCCTTGCAGGCCCCGTAGCATCACGACTTCTCCTTACCTGCCTGCCTCCTTTTCTCACCACCAACACCTCCAAGCCAGTGGGAGAGAGTCTGGGGGCATTGAGGGGGTGGGCAGGGTCCTGGGCTCAGCTGGGGTTGGGGGTGCTGGTCCCCATCCTGGGAGATTGGCAGGGATCCAGGTAAGGCCTGCATGGGATCGGGGAGAGAGAGAGGCAGGTTCCTGAGTTGGGGGCAGCGGCCAGGCTGGAAGACCCTGGGCTGAAGACTCCCCACCTGGGATCTGGGGTTGCGTCTTTCACTTTCATGGTGGGTTCCTGAGACTGAGGAGCTTTGGACGAACGCTTGGCTATTGGGAATGTCCCAGTCACAGGACATTGTAAACAGCCACCAGGGCTGTGGGATGCATGGGAGTTCACCTTGCCCACAGCAGTCTGCAGAGCTAATGGGGGCGCTGAATGTGTAGGGGCATCTCATCACTGGCTTCCAGAAGTTGAGTACCAGGTTGGTACCTTCTGCCCATCCTGCAGGTGTCTGAGCTACCTGGAATGGATGGTACTCTCAGGGAGACCTTGGCAAAGCAAGGCACCTCTATGGGCTGGTTTTTCTACCTGTAAAATTGGGAGAGAGTGCCGGACACGGTGGCTCACACCTGGAATCCCAAGCACCTTAGGAGGCAGAGGCAGGAGGATCACTTGAGCCCTGGAGTTCGAGACCAGCTTGGGCAACATAGGGAGATCCTGTCTATAAAAAATAAAACAATTAGCCAGGCATGGTGGCACACACCTGTGGTTCCAGCTACTTAGGAGGCTGAGGTGGAAGGATCACTTGAGCCTGGGAGGTCAAGGCTGCAGTGAGCCATGATTGTGCCACTGCACTCCAGTGTGGGTGACAGAGCAAGACCCTATCTTTAAAAAAAAGGGGGTGGTAGTGAGGAAGTCTAAGCCCTCCACTCCAGTCTGACATTCTAAGTCAAGTTTGGAAGAGCCAGGTCTGCACAGAAGGCACTTGCTTGCTTTCATTGTGCCACTGGGGTAAAATCATTCTAGCAACCACCACAGTCCCAAAAATAAGTCCGCTCCAGAGGTTAGCTGCTGTTAATTTATCTAGGCAAAGGCAGAAAGTTAAGGGCAGCTGCTGAGCTGTAAACAGTGGTGAGTCAGCACATGGACTTTCAAAAGGGAGTTTTAGAAAAGAAAAGATGCTGACTGTCAGCTGAGAACCCCGAGAGCCCGCTTGACTCCAGGTGCTGCTGGGAGAGGGTGGGGGATGAGTCAGGCTTGGCCAGGGAGCTAAACAGGAGAAGAAGGAAGGCTGATTGTGGCCAGGTTTTAAGAGTAGTGTGGTTATATTTTGGCGTGTTTTTTGTTTGTTTTCTGTTGTTGTTGTTTTTGAGACTGAGTCTTGCTCTGTGACCCAGGCTAGAATGTAGTAGCGCAATCTCTGCTCCCTGCAACCTCCACCTCCCGGGTTCAAGTGATTCTCCTGCCTCAGCCTCTCAATTTGGGATTACAGGCGCGTGCCACCATGCCTGGCTAATTTTTATATTTTTAGTAGAGACGGGGTTTCACCATGTTGGACAGGCTGGTCTCGAACTCCTGACCTCAGGTGATCCACCTGGCTTGGCCTCCCAAAGTGCTGGGATTATAGGCGTGAACCACCATACCCGGCGAGTAGTGTATTTTAAAAGGAGAACCAGGAGGGAGCCGCTGTTTCAAGTTTCTTATCTCATAGACCTTCAGAGGAAAGAGGGCACCTCAGGTAGGGCTTGAGTGGGATTTCAGAAGGAAGATGCTGCACTACAGAAGAGCGACAGAAATGCGGGAGTAGGGACTTGCAGTTCGGCTGGAGCAGGCGGAACCCCCCGAGCGGTCTGAGAAGGTGGGCTGGGGAACCATGTGGGGCCCCAAACGCCAGGCCATGAGGTTTAGATTCCATCAAGGGCGGTGCACGGGGAGCCTCACACACTCATGCCTCTCTGTTCTCTGTCTTTCCCACTCTTTCCGAAGCAAGCTAAAGTATTCCATTAATCTTCCCCAGTGCAGAGGACTAAGCGGGTGGTTCTTAGGTTTGAACACATGTCAGAAGGGCTTGTATCAATGCAGAGTGTGGGCCCACCTCCAGAGCTTCCAGGTCCTAGAATCTGCAGTTTTAACAAGTCCCCAGATACAGCAGATACTGCTGGTCCTGGGGTTACATTTTGAGAACCGCTGCTTTAGCGTAATGGCAAATCCTACGTGCTGAAGCCGGGCACTGCTCCACCGTGACCACCAACTCCCCCTGCCTGGACTTCGGAATTCCTTCTGCACGATGGGGCTGGACCGGGCATTGCAGGAGGGCTGCCCTAACCCCGTCTCACCTCCTGGCAGGTGCTGGAGAGAGCACTGCCTTCTACGCCCAGGGTGCAGTTCTCTGGCTTGTTGGCTGTGTCTTCGAGGGCTCTATGTTGTTCCGTCCCCCGTCACCTGCCTGCTGTGTACCTGTCGTACTTGATCTAGCTCAGACATTTTGTCACACTCCTCGGGGAGGAGGGTGATTGGAACAGTTGCTTGGCATGGCAATGACCTGGCCACCAATCAACATTTGCAGACAGCATCTGGGTATCTTGGGAGCTCCCAGCCTTCCCTGGGCAGGGCTGGGGCCATCAACTGGACACAGGGCATTGCGCTTAACAGCATGGCTACCTCGGGCTGCTGGTAAGTACCAGAATGCTGTTTCTCCTTTCTTGGCTTTTTACCATACAGAAAGCTCACTCCATCCTGACCCTGCACCTTCAAAGCACTTTTCTCATAGGTTCTATATTAGCTGGAGAAGAACCTTCAAGGGCATTTGGAGAAAAAATAAAAAGCACTAGTTCAGGTACCTTATGAAATGTCATTTCATCCGACCTTCCAGCTGGACCATGGGATCCCAAGACACCAATAGTCCTGGGCTTGGACATTTTGAGACCAAGAGCTCGTTACCTGCCAATGAATCCCAGCTTTAAGAACTTCAAGCATGAGAAAATTCTTCCCACAGACCATCCTGGAACAATTGGATTATTGCCAAATGGCTGCTGCTGGGGAAATTGGCTCGTGGGAGGGGGGAATCAGATTGTGTTCTTTTTCAAATTGTGTTCTATCATTCTTTTGAGCAGTGGTTTTCAAACTTTAGTGTTTCACTGAAACCACATGTGACACTTGCTAAACATGGAGAGAACTGCGGCTTCCTCTCAGAGACTCTTTCTAGGGTGAGGCCCAGAAATCTGGATTTTAAGCAATCTCCCCAGGTGATTCCAACACAGACCGCTCTCAAATCACAGGCAGAGAAACCCTGGGCATCTGAATGTCTGTCTTCCTTTTCCTTCCTTTTCTTTCCTTTCCTTCCTTCCTCTTCCTTCCTTCCTTCCCCTTCTTTCCTTCCCCTCCCTCCCTTCCTTCCTTCCCCTCCCTCCCTCCCTCCCTTCCTTCCTTCCCCTCCCTCCCTCCCTCCCTTCCTTCCTTCCCTCCCTCCCTCCCTCCCTCCCTCCCTTCCCTCCCTCCCTCCCTCCCTCCTTCCCTCCCTCCCCCCTCCCTCCCTCCCTCCCTCCCTCCCTCCCTCCCTTCCCCTCCCTCCCTCCCTCCCTCCCTCCCTCCCTCCCTCCCTCCCTCCCTTCCTCCTCCCTCTCTCTCCCCTCCCTCCCTTCCTCCTCTTCTTCCTTTCCCTTCCTTTCCCCCTCCCCTCCCTCCTCCCTCCCTCCCTTCCTTCCCTTCCTTCCTCCTCCCCTCCCTTCCTCTTCCTTCCTTCCCTCCCTCCCTCCCCTTCCTTCCTTCCTTCCTTCCCCTCCCTCCCTCCCTTCCTTCCTTCCTTCCTTCCCCTCCCTCCCTCCCTTCCTTCCTTCCTTCCTTCCCCTCCCTCCCTCCCTTCCTTCCTTCCTTCCTTCCTCCCTTCCTTCCTCCCTCCCCCTCTCTCTCTCTTTCTTTCTTTTGACAGAGTCTCACTCTGTAGCCCAGGCTGGAGTGCAGTGGTGCAATCTCAGCTCACTGCAATCTCCTCTTCCTGGATTCAAGCAAGTCTCTTGCCTCAGCCTCCTGAGTAGCTGGGATTATAAGCACCTGCTTCCATGCCCAGCAAATTACTGTGTTTTTAGTAGAGACAGGGTTTTACCGTGTTGGTCAGGCTGGTCTTGAACTCCTGACCTCAAGTGATCTGCCCGCCTCGGCCTCCCAAAGTGCTGCTATTACAGGTGTGAGCCGCTGCGCCCAGTCCTGAATGTCAAAAAGAAGAAAATTTGGTCCATATTCACCTGGTCTCCAACAGGGAAGGACTTTGAAAGCATAGAACGACAGGAGTAACACCCAAAAACAATCTGGCCACATAAAAGTTACAAATACGCCCGACGCAGTGGCTCACACCTGTAATCCCAGCACTTTGGGAGGCAGAGGCAGGTGGATCACCTGAGGTCAGGAGATCGAGACCAGCCAGGCCAACATGGTGAAACCTTGTCTCTACTAAAAATACAAAAAATTTAGTCAGGCATGGTGGCAGGCACCTGTAATCCCAGCTACTTAGAAGGTTGAGGCAGGAGAATCACTTGAACCCAGGAAGTGGAGGTTGCGGTGAGTTGAGATTGCACCACTGCACTCTAGCCTAGGTGACAGAGACCCTATCTCAAAAAAAAAAAAAAAAAAAAGTTACAAATACATCTACTTCAGAGCACATCAAAATATCAAAAGCCAATAAGTTGGGGGGAAACGGTGAGGAATTTGGGAAAGGATCAATGTTTTTGATATTTTAAGAGCTCTTAAAAAGTATTAAAAAAAAGATACCAGTTGCTCATATTCAGCCAATCATGACATAAAATGGCCTATAAACATAAAAATATTTCAACCATACAATTACTGCCTGTCAAAATAATTTAAAGCTAATAGACAAATGCTTTTAAGATAGGCTCACTGTAGAATTGTTTGCATAACCTCTCCGGAAAGCAATTTGCTAAGAGGTCTTGAGAGGCTTAAAAAATGTTTATGTTCTTTGGCTCAGTATGGTCGGCCCTCTGTATACACGGATTCCACACCTTTG